AACTGCTGCCATGGAGCCCCTTAGCTCTCCAGATGTAATCAAGACCACGAGGTTGCGATATAATCGCTGCCACCTCCTTCCTCCTGGGGCTGATAAGCAGGACACTGCTCACGTGCTGGGTGGGAGAGCAGCTCCTCATGCCTGTCCTTCCTGCTGGGGAGGCTTGGGGACATGGCAGAGCCCACTGTGGTGACACACTGCACCTGGCAGGTGCTGCTGGTGCTGCTCGGCCACCGTGTCACAGCCCAGCCAAGCCCTGGGGCCTGTGGTGGCCAGGCTGGACTGGTGAGCCGTGGTCTGCCAGGGACATGGTGCCCACAGATGGAGTCTGCCAAACACCCTCCAGCCCATCCAACCCCCCGACTTGCCCCTCACTGTCCAGGCTGCCAGACCCTCTCCCAGGGCCCCTCACTGTCCTCAGCAGCCCGGGGACAGCCAAGGGACAGCCTAGGCCTGTCTGACATCCGCATGGCCTCTGGCTCCTGCTCCCGCTCAGTTCCTGGGAGTTTCAGTTCCCACACCCCAGTGTTGGGGACCAGGGGCTGCTCCAGCCTGGAGAGGAGGGGGCACCACTCCCTCCTCAACGCCTCAGGGTGGCACCGTGGCCGTGCTGGGGTGAGGCTGTGTGGGGCACAGACCTCCGCGCCATGCGGGGCGCAGCAGTACCCGGGTGCAGCGCTCCCTCCATCCCTGTCCGGCATGGCCCCGGCCCGCCACTCCCATCATGGCGGCCGCCGCCGCTCGCCACACTGGTCATGGCGGCCCCACACCCGCTCCCCCAACATGGCCGCCCCGCCCGTCCATCCTGCCCGTGACCAACATGGCCGCCCGGGAACGCCGCGCCCAACATGGCGGCTGCCAGAGGGAACTGAGAGGGCGAGGGGTGGTGATGTCACTTCCAGTCCGCCGCGGCGGGAGTGCCGGCCGGGCCCCCATGGAAGCGGGCGAGGGCCGGCTGGCGGTGGCGGCAACGCTGCGGGCGCTGAACGAGGCGCTGGGGCGGCCCGGCGCGCTCTGGGTGAAGGAGAGCGGCGCCCGCAACCTGCGGCACCGGGACTTCCTGGCGCCGCGGGCAGCGCTGGGCGCCGCCTTTCCCGGTGGCCAGGTAGGCCCGGCGGGGCGGCTGGGAGGGGGTGGGGCCTGCGAGCGGTGGGCGGGGGTATTCGGGGGCTGGGAGCATGGCCTGCGCGAAGGGGCGGGGTCTGGGAGCCGGGGCGGGGCCGCATCTCCACGCCCCGCCCGCGCCGACCCCGCCCCGCCCGCAGGTGCCCCCCGAGGCCGTGTCGGCGGTGCCGTCGCTGCGGGGTCCCGCGGTGCTGCCGCTGCGGGGCTGCCGGGACACGCCGGCGGGGCTGGCGGTACAGGTGCGGCGCCCTGAGGCCTTCCAGCGCCTTCTGGGCCCCCTGCCCGTTCCGGCCCTCCCCGCGGCGGGGGCGCGGGAGGGCCCCGTGGTGCTGCATTGCCCGGCCCTGCGCGGCGCCGCCACTCTGCGGCCGGGCCACCTCCGCCCGGTCCTGCTCGCCGACCACCTGGCACAGCTGCTGCGCGCCCAGGGGTGAGTGAGTGTCCCCGTCCCGCCCTGCCCGCGCCCCCCGCCCGCCGCTGCCAGCGCCTCCCTCGCCCTCTCCTGCAGGGTCGGCGTGCGCCTGGTCCCTGCCCTCGCCCAGGAGGGCAGCTCGGAGGTCCTGCGACAGCTCCGCATCGACTGGCCCTCCGGCGGTTCGTCCTTCCCTGAGTCTGTCTCGGCCTTGAAGGCAGCGCTGGGCCGGGCTCCCTGTAACACAGCCTGTGAGCAGGGGCCGGGCACGGCCACGCTGCCCGAGGGTGTCATCGGTAAAGTGCACCTGAAGAGCTTCGTGGAGCAGCAGGGCTTGGTGGGCTATGACCCCAACCTGGATGTGCTTCTCGGTGAGCTTCACATGTAGAGCAGCTCAGGTGTGGCAGTCGGGGGTGAATGGGTGTAAACAGGTCTGTTTCCTTTCTTTTCCCTTATTCCCCTTCAGTCTGGTTTGAGCCTGGGGCAGACCCGATAGTGTGGGATGGCAGGGGATGGCAAACCCTTGTGTCCCAATCTGTGTCCCTCCATCTTTCAGTGACAGAGGGGATGCTGAGGTCCCTGGCTGAGCTGCAGCAAGCTGTTCAGCAGTGCCTGGTGAGTGACCCTGTGGCATTGCCTGCCTCTCGCTTCCCAGGTGTTGTTCCCTTCTGCCAGGCAATATCATTTGAACTCCCTGCTGTGCTCTGCTGCAGGCTGAGGGCCAGAGTAGCTGCTGCAGCATTGTGCATGTGGTGAACTGTGAGGAGGAATTCCAGCAGCAGCAGCTGGATCTGCTCTGGAGAATTTTGGACCCGGGAACCCACACAGCTTTGCAGGTGAGCAACCTCTGACCCTCCTCACTGTGGCCCCTGGTATCCCTGTGCTCCAGACTAGGTTTAGAGCAGGGCTGGATTTCACCCAGTTCTCCTGCAGTGCATTTTGGTGGAGCTTCTGAATCTCTGACAGCCTCTCCTCTGTCTTTCAGAAACACCTTGTCTGTGGGCCAGTGAAGGTGACCAACCCCTCATCGCCCATCAGGGCAGACCAGTACTTCCAGTGAGTTGGTGTGCAAGGCACCTGTTGTTCCCTTGCTTGCCAAGGCTCCCTGTGCTCTGCCCAGCCCCGTGGGCACCCAGGCACCCACAGTCATGGCTGAGTGAGCTGCTGGCACACAAAGAGCTCTGTGCACTCCCTCCATCCTGCTTTCCATGGCCACAGAGCTGTTTCAGGAGAACTGGAGGTACCTTCCCCAGTGGCCTTCTCCAGCAGTGCTGCTTCTGCCCCTCTCCAAGCTGCTAAGAGGAAAGGTGGTGGCAGGAGCTGGGTGGTCCCTCAAAGCCCTCTCCAGGCAGCAGCCCAGGGGCCTACTGGGGTGTGGTTGTCTCTGCTCTGCTCCTGGGGCTTCTGTGCTGCTTTTGCTTAGCTGAGTCACTGCTGCAGCTGGGAAGCCCCGAGCAGCCTGAAGGCTGGTAGAGCCCTGGGGTCCTCTCTGGGATCAGCTCAGTCTAGAGGGGTTGACTCTGAGTGTCTGTGTTTCTCCCAGGCTCCGAAAGCGCCAGATGTATGAAGCCTCAGTGATGAAGTATGGGGAGCTTGCACAAGGTGAGGGTTTGTTCTGCGGCTCCACACACAGGTACAGCTCCATCCCATCTCCATGGCTCCCATGAGTCTCCCCCTCACCTCTGAATTCACAGCCAGTCAGGGTTCTCCCCTCCAGGATGGAGCCAGGTGCTGACCTTGCTTGGGGAAGGCACCTAAACACACAGGGCACTGGCACAGAGCAGCACGTGCCGATGGGGGACGGGGCTGGGGAAGTGCGGTGGTCGCCAGCTTCCAGGAGCGCCTGGCTCCAGGTGGGGTGTCCTGCCTGGGGGTGTCAGTACATGGGAATGGAGCCAACTGATGCCACCTGCATTTTCCAGATGAGGCCTGGAGGGAGGTGATTGATACCCTGACAGCGGCTGCCATCAGGTTTGAGATGCTGAGCACTGCTCACCGGAGTCAGGTAGGACAGCGGCGTGCAGGGAGCCAGGGCTGGCAGGCCGTGGGAATAGTGACGTGGCTCTGCACTGAGCGGCCTGCACTGTGACTTGCCTGTGCCCTCAGATCACTCTGGACTTGGAGAACAGCAGCATCTCCACAAAGGGAACCAAGAGCGGTGCCTTTGTGATGTACAACTGTGCCCGCCTGGCCACACTCTTCGACAGCTTCCAGCGGGCTGTGGAGCGGGGTGAGCACCAGCCCTGCCACCCTCCTCTAGCAGCCACTTCTGGAGCCACGGGGGCTTCTCCAGGCACAACAGTCTCCCTTCTTTCCAGGCACATACCCACCTCTGCCACCAGTGTCCGAACTGAACTTCTCCTGCCTCCGGGAAGAGGTGAGTGCTGAGAGGGAGAATGTGGGGACCTGCACACCCTCAGCTCCAGTGGTGGATGCTACTGGCCCAGAAGGATCTGGTCCTAAAACACATTATCCCTTCACAGGGTGAATGGCTCCTGCTCTTCAACTATCTCTTGCCCTTTCCTGAAGTCCTGGAGCAGGCAGCACAGCTGCCCACACCCTCCAAGGGGATCCGGATCACAGCCAACACAGAGACAGTAAGTGCTCCATGCCATAGCACCCATGGGTGCTGCTCCCACAGTCCCAGCCCAGGGCAGAGCTCCATGCCAGCAGGTGCTGCCCATCTATGAGCAACACAGGGCTGGTGCTGAGGGAAGAGACTGCAACACCCCTGAGGCTGTTCCTGATGTGCTTGGGGTGGGGAAAGGCCCAAGACTGGCCAGAACGTGCTGTGCCATCAGAATGTGTCTGCCTTGCAGGTATGCAAGTTCCTGATCCAGCTCAGCATGGATTTCAGCTCCTACTACAACCGGGTGCATGTCCTGGGGGTGAGTTGGGTGTCCCAGCCTGCAGCCTTACGGCTGGACTGCAGCTGGGAGGCAGCCATGTGGGTGGAGAGGCAGCAGTGCCTCTAGGGCCAGCCTGCTGAGGGGCAGTTTGGCCACCAACCCCAGTTGCTGCGTCTCTCCCCACAGGAGCCATTCCCTCACCTCTTTGACCAGATGTTTGCCCGCCTCCAGCTGCTGGGAGCAGTGAGGGATGTGTTCCACAGCGCGCTGGCGACTCTGCACCTCCCTCCTCTCAGCCAGATCTGAGCCACCCCTGAAGAGCTATGCCATGGTGTGACAGGCACTTGGACAATGTGCTGTTAGGGGAGGACAGGGCTTGCTGTCCCCAGCAGGGTGAGGGGCTGCCCCAGCACCAGCCAGGAGACACCTCAGCATACACAGGCACTTCGCCTCCCAGGGTCTGTGGTGTTTGGGGCTTAGCCACGTGCTCCCTGCAGCTGTGCCTGGTGTGTAGGGAAAAGGGAGGGCTCCTGTGGCACCTCACAAACTGTGCTGGGAACACTGAGGGAGGTGGCACCAGGAACCAGTCACCACAAAACCAGGCACCAACATCATTTCCCTCAAAGCTGTTTATTGAAGGTTGCTCCATGCTGGCAGGGAGCTCCTGAGGCTCCAGGCTCCTGTCAGGACCTGGCCCAAGCCCCAGTACTGGGGTCCAATACACTTGTTGCTGGACAAACACTGCATTTGTTTGACCTCAGAGCTGTTTGTCCTTCCCTTGCTCCAACTGTCCTGGATCCTGCTGCTGCACAGGAACAACCCACTTGGCCTGACACAGTGCTGAAAGGCTGCTCTGAAGGGGGAGGGGGGCATGTGTGGGCACCCCCCAGGGTGCTGCAGCAGAGGATCAGTGTCCCTGTGCATTTCAGCACCATCCTCAGCACTGCAGGGTAAGGGCTGACACACCAGGCTGCAGCCCCCCTGTGCCTGACCCTTCTTGGCCTCCTGCTGCCCTCAAGCTCCCAGTGCTGGTCAGGGCCCTAAGCGCCCTCCTGAGCAGGCTCCTCTCTGAGACCAGGGCTGGAAAGCCTGGACATGGGTCCCTCACACCTTGGGAAAGAGGTTCTCCCGGGCAGGGGGAGCTGACAACCCCAGTTCTTTATTGCCTAAGGAGTCACAGGCCCCTCCAGGAGGGGTCCCATCTGCCTTCTCCCCCGAGACCACTGGCCTTGAGCACCCCAGATGTGGCTGTGCTGCCCCTGAAGGAGCCAAGCGTGCCCATCCCCTCAGGAGGGGACACATCAGTGTGCAGGCTGGGGGCAGGGACTGCAGTGATGGGCAGAGCCCAAGTGCAGAGTGCCCTCCCAAGATAGGCAGGGACTAGGATGTGTTGCACACCTGCCCCATTCCTGGGGAGCCTCGAGTGGCGAGGGCTCGGAGGGGGCTGTGCCACACAGCATCTCCAGGCCCTGCCCACAGAGCACGCAGTAGTACCGCAGCTCCCCCCCGGCCTCTGCCACCTCCCAGCAGTCCAGCTCAGCCAGGTCAGGCACGTGGAAGAAGGTGGTGCTGAGGGGGACCAGCCCCCCCGGGCCCCAGCGCCACAGCGTCAGGCGCTGATCCACCGAGGCCGAGAGCAGCAGGTCCGGCCGCAGCACCCGGATACCCGTGACATGGGCAGCATGGGCACAGGGCCTGGACACCCGCTCCAGGATCTGCAGGCAGGTCCCTGCTGCAGCCTCGCCCTTGCCCAGGGCCACCTCCAGCAGGCAGATGTGGATGGAGCCATCATCACTGCCGCTGGCCACCAAGTACTGTCCCTCTGGCACCTTGATGACATGGAGGCTGTTCACACCGCAGCTGTGGGCCATGATGGTGAGCAGCGGGGCACCCAGGGCTGGGAAGACAGGCTCAGTCAGGAGAGCGATGCTCACCTTGGTCAGAGGGAGCAGAGGAGCCACCAGTGTGGCTCAGGAGGCAGAGCAGGGCTGCTGGCAGTGACACCCACCCAGGGGCTGCATCTCCCCCTCCGCTCGGTGCAGGGCATCTGTCGCGTCCGTGATGGGGCTGGTGATGTCCCAGAAGGCGATGCTGCCATCAGTGGCTGCACTGCACAGGAGGTGCCTCCTAGAAGGGAGGTGTAGGGGGAACCTCTGGCCACAGCCCTGAGGGTCCCCACTGAGATCTGTGGAAATGGCAGAACAGCCTCCC